TGACAACGAAAAATAATTCTCCAACCGAGTCGTGATAAGCTCTGCGAGAAATACAAGTTCAAGCAGCACAAATCTTCCATGTATCATACTCCGGCCAACGGTCTTGTAGAAGCATTCAAAAACGTCCATCCATTATGCTCCATTCATATGTTGTCCATTCCAAGCCCAAAACTGCTCTAAAATGCTCCAAATTGCCTTTTCTTGACACTTTTGCCATTTGAACCTACAAACACACGAAAATAGCTTAAATCACTATAATAAACAAAAACCAACTCACTAAATGCAAAGAAACAAGCTAACAAAGTCGCATAAATATGCTTCTATCACAAGGGCCATCAAGGCGTATTTCTTAAATTGCAATGATGAATTTTGTCAAGGGCCGTTGAGGCGTATTTGATATTAGGAAAAATTGGGAAAGCTTTCAACTTTGCATGTCCTACAACTGCACAATCATGACAAGAAAACAACTTCTGCGGGAATAACTTTGAAAACTGGAACGTTTGGCTTTAGGAAAAATTATGAAATTTGGACATAATGATCCTCAGCCACTTAGCTTCCTTCTCCAATTGGTCTTACATCAAAACTCCTTCGAAAAGTTGAATTATCACCAAAAACGTCCTGCTTTCGTAGATTGGCTGGAACTTGCCATTTTTTGCTGGAATTTGCTTCCTCCTTTTGGATGGAATGTGCTTCCTTGTTTTGATTTTCCTTTTACTATTTGGGTATGTATTTTCCTTATAGCATTAGGAAGAAATTGACCCCTATATATAGGACCATTAGGTGTGTATTTTTTCACACACACAAGTCCTTGTTGTGGGCTTGCTTGGAGCTTTTGGGTGGGTTTTGCTAGTTGCTTCTGCTTAGAGCTTGTTGCAGTGCATCAATGTTTACCACGTGGTGTTGTGCAAAAGATTGAAGCGTGTTTACACTGTGTACTGCCTTTACGTTACAGTATTCCCTTGGTAGTGATGTTGCCATGTGCATTTGTTATTAATGCTACCGTGTGCATTGTTGTTGTTCCTTGTCATGCCCCTTGTTGCTGTTTGGCACGAGTTGTAGCTGCTTGAAGCTTGTTGCAATGTGTCACTTTTACCGTATGGGGCAGTGCAAAAGACTGCAACGAGTTTATGTTGTGTAATGCCTTTTGGTCACAGCTTTCCTTGGTGGTGAAGTGCCTCTCAGTGCAAGAAACTGCTTGCGTAATCACTGCGGGGTTGTGTAGTGCGATTATGTGGTGCTTTGGTTTTCTTTGCTACTGTAGCACGCTTTGAAGGACCATCCTGTAGCTGGCCTCTTCATTGTGCTGTGCAAGAAACTGCTTGCATAATCGTTGCGGGGTTGCATAGTGTGATTACATGGCGTTTTTGGTTTCTTTGCTATTGTTGCATGCCTTGAAGGACCATCTTGTAGTGGCTGATTTCTTCTTGTTGTTACGATGTTGTCATCGTCATTCTTCAACGTTCGCGAGGTTTGTCTCGCATGTCTTTTGCTTTAGTGAAACGATTTTTTTTTCTTTCTTTGCCGCCCCACTTTTGTGCTTATGTTGCTTTGTTTATTTTGTTGCAGCCATGGTATTTTTCAAGTGCTTTAAGAATAATACCATTACTATTCTCGCGAAGGAAGGCATTTCACAAGATAAGGGGACGACATTGAAGCTTTGCGCCCATTAGCTAGCATCCGTCAGTTGAGTTTGTAGAGCACCTATTAGCTAGCATCCAAAATGCAGATGTGAACTTCTGATGAGGTGATAGACTTTGTTGGCCTACGACATCTATCTTCCTTGCAAAGTAGTGGTCATGATGGACAACTGCATTCAAGATGATTTCAAAAAGTTTTCTCCTCATCCGATACCGCCTCTGAAAATCATGAGGAAGATATCTCGAACATTCGATGAAATAATCTTTCATCATCTGGTCATGACACTCTTCTATATTACACTGTACAAATGAACACCCCGAGACAGAACCACGATAGCTAGATTTGGCATGGTGCTCATATTTCATAAGCGAGTTTGCAAATTTGGGTTCTTCGTTGTTCATTTCTACATCCGCAGTTGCAAGGCTTGCTTGGTATTGTGCCATCTGCATTACCAAGCTACGCTTTCTTCTATCATCCATTGATGAGATATTGATGATTTTGAGGAAACAAAAACACTTTGAAAGTTGGAAGATTGGTGAATATGTTGTGTGATGGTTAGATATTCAACCTATACTTATATAGAGGATGATTGAAGGTTTGCGATTCATGTGTGTAGGCTTGTGTTTCATGTGTTTCATGTGTTTTGTGTGTATTTGGTATGTGTTTCGTGTGTATCATGTGTTTCACATGTTTGATGTGTTATACATATCTATCATGTGTTTTATGTGTTTCATATGTGTTATGTGTGTCTTGTGTTTGTCATGTATTTTGTGTTATACATCTCTATCATGATTTTCATATTCTTCCATAGTGTTTCATAAGTTTCATGTATCGATTTAGTGATTTATCAATATTTATCGGAATTTAAATCCGTTAAAATATTCATAAAATTAATTTAGGATAGTCTACATAATTTTTTTTTTTTTTAAATTAGCCTAATTTCATTATTTAATAATCTGGGGCTAAAATTTTAGGCCAGAAATGTTGGAGTAGAAAAATTGTTTATAAGTTAAAACCTAAAGGCATGTTTGGTATCCTATTTGAAATTTTTTTTTATCATTTTTCAAAACATTTCTTAAGAACATTTATTGAAAACAATTTTCTTTAAGACTCAAAAACTTGATTAGTTTGTGATTTAAAATAGACAAAAAAATCTAAAAAGAGGGGTTGCAGGAGAGGGAGAAAGAGAAGAGAGAAGGAAAGAAAGTAAGAGATGATTAAAGGAAAGAGAAAAAAGATAGAAGGTCGGACGAGATAAAGAGGAAGAGGTGTGAGAGCAAGAATCAAGAGAATGAAGAGAACGGATTGGAGGTGAGACAAAAAAGGTAAAAAAGAAAAAAAAGACGAGAAAGAAAGAAGAAAAGAGAGAGATATAGATTTAGAGTGAGAGGGGAGGAGGAAGAGAAAAGAAATGAATGAGTTTAAGTTTAAAAACTCTAAAAACTCACTCTTTTTATGTTTTTAGAGAATATACTATATTTTTTTAGTTAATCTTGAGTTCAGTTTTTGAAAATAGAATACAGGAACTAAATTTTCTGAGTTAAAAATTTTAGGGTAAAAGATTGTTTACTACCCTCAAGTTTCGTGGTTTTCAACATTTAGTACATCAAGTTTTTTTCATCTCAGAGTCATACCTAAAATGTTAATTTTGGGACAGTCTCATACATCCGTTAGTCAAACTGTTAAGTCTGGCGTTAACTGATGACGTGGTGCCTATGTGGACAATGATTGGGCGCCACGTGTCATTTAAAAATATTAAAATAATTAATTAAAAAAAAAACCACTTCTTCTTCCCCACCCTCCACCCTCCACCCCGCCACTTTGAGTGTTAATTTCTTCTCTCTTTTCTTTGATCTCCACCATCACCATCTCTAGAAGCTCTTGCTGCTTGTCTTCAATTCTTCATAAAACCCAGCAAATCTAATTTCACAAATTTTGAATATTTCTCAAAATCCAGCAAACCTAACTCCACAAATCGGACTGCACACCCTTTTTCCTTTCCTCATATCTGCAGCCAACTCTCTTCCCTTACCTCCCGTCCAACTGGAATGAGAAAGAATCTTATCCATCTACTTCTCAAGAAGTTGCAAGTGTATTAGCAACAGCATCGGGTCTTCGATTCGGCGTCCTCCGCCGTCACCAACTCTGAATCCAAAGACAACCCATCGCCACGGCGGCCTAATTCGAAAAACCAAGTTGACTGGCTGGGCGATTGAAAACTCAGTCTCAAATAATGCTGGATGGTTCACGATCAAATTTTTATGCCAATTTCAATCTGCAATTTTGTCGAGTTGGGTTCTCAGGGTTATGGAAAAATGTCGAATTTGTGGAGTTGGGTTTGCTGGATTTTGAGGTTGCAGGGAAACGAGGGAGGGGCCGACCGCCCAGAGCTAGGGTTTTGAAGACTGAAGCTGCGGAGGAGAAGCCTGTGAAGGCATTCTGGGTTTTTAATTTGCATGCCCTGCCTTCTAAAATCCACCTCACTGCTCTAATAATTTTGCAGGCCAAAGCCATCCATGGCTTATTCAATCTCTCTCTCCTCCCTCATCCTCTTCCTCTCAACAAAAACTCCACCGCAACCGCCGCCGCCTCCTAGAAACCCCAATACCCCAACTTTAAGCTGCTCATCCCCGCATTCGCCACCCCAGCTGTAAGCCGTCACTCCACTCCATCTCCGTCTTTCGACACCAGATAGAGGCACTGGAAGAAAGGTGAATACCCAGGCGTCTCAGAGATGTTAACTCCGGCGACTTACAGAAAAACCCAAAGTTGGGGTTTTCCTTTTGATCTGAAAGAACTGAACTTTAGGGTTTGAGAGTGGGGGATTGAATTGAAAGATTGGGTTTGGGGATGATTTGCAGGGGTTCTGGGTTGAAGAGAGAGGTAGAGAAAGGTCGTGAGAGAGAGAGAGAGTGAGATGGAGAATGCAAAGAGAGAGAGTGTGCGGGGTAGGAGTTTTTTTTTTTTTAAATACTTTTATTTAATTAATTATTTTAATATTTTTAATGATACGTGGTGCCCAGTCATTGTCCACATAAGCGCCACGTCATCAATTAACGGCAGACTTAACGGTTTGACTAACAGATGTATGAGACTGTTCCAAAATTAACACTTTAGGTATGAATCTGAGACGAAACAAACTTGATGTACTAAATGTTGAAAACCACAAAACATGAGGGTAGTAAACAGTCTTTTATCCAAAATTTTAAGTTTTAGGTCAAAGGTCATAGAAACGCAATAAGTTTTTCCATAAATGTGAAGAATATTCCATCTTTTTGGGATACGCATAACCAAATCAGAAATAAAAAAATTTAAATTTTAAATTTAAAAAAAAAAAGTTAAAAAGATGATGAGGACGATGTCGCGATGAGAAGGTCAAACTTAAACAGCTCAGAGGGGAAAGCAAACGTGCTGTAATCTGAGTTGTAAAACCCAACCAAATCCAGCCAGCCTCCTTTAAGAAGTCGGAATATGAGGATCCTGTCTTTTGGGTTATACGAAATTGTGGTTTGGATTACTTATTTGCTAGTTTTGTTGTAACTTGTAATTTCATCTCGTGCTGCTATCTGAGAAACCCAGCTAGCAGTTCTGGGCTTCAGGTGAGTTTTTATTTTTACTTTGTTTATTTATCTTAATTGGGGAATGATGTTATGATCCATGAACAATTATTGGCTTAATATGTTATGTAACTTGTAATTATTATTAATATATTTTTCTTACCATATATAAATTGTAAATTGTTGGATGACATTGTTTTCAGGGTTTCGTTAATTCGATACATTAAGCAAGTTTATTGGAAATTCTGTTCGTATCGGAGTCCTGGATAGAAAATGAGAGCAATTGCTCGATCTTTTCACCAATGTAGATTGGCTTTGTGCCATCAAGCATGTCATTACTCAAGTGGTTTTGTAACAAGGCAGAAGCTGTTGACAAACACCCGTGCTGTGTTTGCTTATCAACTCGCTAAAAATGCCGAATTCGATAGACTTCAACACCCCACGCTTATGGTCTCGAGAGCTCTGTCAATTGATGCTGCTCAAGTTACTAATGGTGGTGCTTCTTGTATTTTGGGCTGTCTTAGTTTGTAAAGTAGCATTATAGTCTCAGTTTTGATGGTTTTGAGTTCAATAGCAGATGTAAAAACAGCGGGGCCACTAGTTGAGTATGAACGAAGAATTGCTGCAGGGGAACTTGTTGACGGTGATGCCTACCAGGTAGGGAAAACAACTCATCGGGTGTATTCTTTATCAGTTCCATATAGATAAATGAGGAAATGATCAGAATGAAAACTGTTTGGCACCTTCCTTCATTTGAAATTTGAAGTGCTAAATGGCACAGTGACGGTGCATGCAAACCTTGGAAGTCAGCTTCACTTTTTCACATACTGTTCGTTTGTTTGTTTGTTTGTTTTGGTTGAACAGATAATGTTTGTTATGGACACTTTATTTAGAGGGAAATTATCCCGTAATTTGGTTTAAAGTATTTAAACTTTCGGTCTTATTTAGTAAATCCTGTGTTAAATGTGGGTTGCTCTGGTTGGATAACAGCTAAAGGAACTGTACTATCGCTTCAGGCAATTATATGCATTATCTATTTATTTTTCTTTTTTTTATCTGACTAATTTTTGTAGGTAGACACCTTAAGAGAACTTCAAAGGCTTTATGATGAACTTGTTCAATCAGCTAATGCCTGCCGGTTGGATAGATATTCAACTTCTACAAAATCTGGAAGGTACTCTTCAATAACTTGTTTAATTTCACCGCTTGTGATCCAATTTCAAGTTGTAGGCTGGTACAGTATATGATACCATTAGCTTCGTGTTGAATTTTTTCTTTTCCTACTTCTAATTTGTTTCTATCTAGGAGTATTTACCAATCGTTCATCTTTTTGTCCATATACAGGAGTAGGTGGTTGTGGTATCATTTCATCCCACATTCTTCAACCTCACCTGTCAAAGGTCTTTATCTGTATGGAGGAGTGGGTACTGGTAAAACCATGTTGATGGACTTGTTTTTTGATCAGCTGTAAGTTTAAATGAATGTTCTTTTTTGTTATGTTATTGTTTAATTTTCTAGATATTGCGACGCTATTGTTCATAATCGTTGAGGAAAAGTCCTTGTAAATACAATGGATCTTGGTGCTTGTCAAAATTTATTTATTTCTGTTCTTGAATGTTAACTTCTCCAACTTTCCGTCCATCACATATTGTCGTCTTTATCTCCTAATAATTTTATTTTTGTTTCTCAGACAATGCAGCTGGAGGAAAAAGAGGATTCATTTTCATGACTTCATGCTGAATGTACATAAAACGTTGCGAGTAAGATGAAATTTTTGATAAAAGGACTTCCTTTGTCATATCTGAGAAATATCTTCTTATGCAAATGTAGGCTGTATTTGGTAAAATTTTTAGGGTTAATTGTTTAGCTCCCGTTGCGAAAAATGTATCATGAAGTACAGTAGAACATTCAGTAATTTGTACACCGCCCCTGGATGGATGATATCCGAACAGGTTGTTCTTACAGTATTTTTGAAAAGAGAGATTTTATTTCAAAATAAGAGCTGTGCATTTACAGTACAACAGGTTTTCATACTTGAGGATTAGGAACTCATTTTTTCAGTCAGTTAATATTCGCATATATTTGAACCAAATGTTCATTTCATTCTAGACATTGGTTTCTTTGGTACTAGGTCTTATACAACTACCCGGTTAAGGTTAACATGGATGATATATATTTTCTCAGAAGCACCAGGGTGTAGAAGATCCACTTGAAGTTGTTGCAGGAGAGATATCGGACGAGGCAATCTTGTTGTGTCTGGATGAATTCATGGTGGAGCACTAGTATTTGAAAATATGATTCAAAATCATATCTTACTATGTTCCTTTGTTGTACTGATTGTCCTGTGGTCTTACGTAGGTGACTGATGTTGCTGATGCATTAATATTAAATCGCCTGTTTAGACATCTATTCAATAATGGTATTGTAAGTAGTTTACTTTCATTTACTCTCTTGTGCTCATGGCCTTTTGTACACTGAATCATGCAGATTCATACTATTTTCTTTGTTTCGATTTTTATTTGTGTTTTTTATTTTACTTTTTGTGCGAGGCAAGTTTAGATCCTTGTTTCCACCTCCAATCGTGCTCCAGATAAGCTGTATGAAGGTGGACTGCAGAGGGATCTTTTTCTTCCGTTCATTGCGACTTTGAAGGTATGTATCTGGATGTGATCTCATCTGCTTGTAATTAGATTGGTTCAAACCAGTGATTTTAGTATATGTTTGCCACAAAACGATAAAATGTTGCCAAGGCACTTGTGGAGTTACCAAACCTTTAACTGGGTTTTATTTGGTGCTAGACAATTTGTTTTATGTATGCATTTTTTGAAGTTTTACATCTGGCACCAGTACTCATGTGCATAACATTATATCATGTTTTCCTAGTCTGTTAATTAGTTTGTACTTCATAACAGCGGGGTATTTTGGCTGTAGGAAAGATGTGTAGTTCATGAAATTGGTTCTGCAGTAGACTACCGGAAACTGACTTCGGTGAGATATCAAGTCCACTAAGATTCCACATGTTCAGGTGATATTACCTAATGTTTATAAATATCTAATCTCATGATTGCACCTTAACTACAGGCAGAGCAGGGTTTCTACTTTGTTGGCAAAGATTTGTCGGGATTTCTCAAGCAAAGTTTTCAACAATTGATTGGGGAACATGAAGCTGTTCCACAAGAAGCTGAAGTAGTAATGGGAAGGACGTTAAAGGTAATCTCTCGATTGCCTTTTGGTGAGGCATATGCTGAGAATATTATATGGTCATGTGTTTTTGGATCTGACAATATGTTCTTTAATTCATATCAGGTTCCACTAGGTGCTAATGGATGTGCGTATTTTCCTTTTGAGGAACTGTGTAACAGACCATTGGGAGCTGCAGACTATTTTGGATTGTGCAGTAAGTAAAACCTAGCAGAGTCGATAATTCATGCAAATTAGGATGTTAAATTTATTTTTAGTTAGTGATATATGACATCATTGTGTTGAGTCGTGGTATGGATGCAAATTAGTATTCTGTCCTCCTGCACTCCTACACTTAAGAATAGGAACTGCAAAACATAAATCTGGATGTTGAGCAATGGAACGTACTTCCCTGTTTTTCATTTTACGTTTATTAAAACCTCATACCTTTTTCTTGGCTAATATTTGCGCGGTTTTAAAAATCATTTCCCTTTTATCCGACTATGAATGATAGATATAGATGTTCGTGAACCTTTATAAATTTTATTTTTACCTGGATGCACAAATTCATATTACCTTAAAACCATTGGCTCTTTTTTAGTAGTAGGAGCTTCCAAACACCCTAATATGGGAATTTCGTATTTCAAGAATCAAAAATAACTTCTCTTAAAGGTTCTTCATTTTCCTTTTTACAGAGAACTACCATACCTTGGCATTGGAGGGTGTCCCAGTTTTTGGGCTCCACAATAGAACAGCTGCATACCGGTTTGTCACTCTAGTTGATGTATGTTCTATGTTTCTTCATAATTTTTTTTTTAACAAACGATGTTATCTACACTAATGGGGAGGGTGGTGTGCTTAACCTCACAATGGGCTAGCAATAATGTGGTTTAGACTTGCCTTTGGCGAGAATCGAACCTAAAACCTCTCATTACAAGTGAAGAGGAATACCACTAGACCGTAGTATCAAGTGGCTCTGTTTCTTCATAATTAGGTTGGCCATATTAGTTACAACTTTTGGAAATAATACCTCTGGAACCAAGATATTTGGGAATAAGATTTGTTCATGTCTTTGGTTATCCTTCACAGGATACTGTTGCAACTGCATTTGGGTTATAGCTTAATCACCATTGCTTTCTCCACTCTCATGGGTCTTAGTATTCCAAATTAGATAAGCTGTGTTAAATTATTCTATTCACTAATGTGGTCACAGGTGATGTACGAGAACAAGGCCAGGCTTTTGTGTACAGCTGAGGGAACTCCCTTTGAACTCTTTGAAAAGGTAGTGACAATCTCTGATGCCCTACAAATAGCACCTAGAACCTCTTCGAGGTCAAGGAAAAATGATGATGCCGGACTGTGCGTGGATAATGAATTGGGTTTTGCTAAAGACCGCACCATTAGTAGGTATGTTCCTCTGCAGAATAAATAATAGCAATTAGTTTGTAACGTGAATTCTATCATTGTACCTGCCTCATTTGTCTATTATTGCACATTGACGTGTCGTTTCTAGTACTACATGACAACTCTCACAGTTTTCTCGCAAATATGCATGCTTTGATTGGAAGAAATTTGCAAGGTTTGGATTGAAAATGTTGTGTTTAAAAAATTTTGGTCATCAAAAGATCTCATTTTGGGTTAATCTTTCCTTCACCTCTTCTCGGCATGCATTGTTTATTCTAACCTTTTACAACTGGAGCCAAAATATCTCGTTTAGAATCTTTGCGTCATGCTTCTGTCCTATTCTAACCGATTACTACCCTAAATCCAAATAACTGTAACTAAAAACAAGTGGCTTAAGGTTTCGGGATCGATAAGAACAGGTCTATATTGAGACGTCGTAGTTTGGTTGTATGAAAGTTGTCAATCTGGTTGTTCTCTATCTCTATTTATTGCAACGTTGCTAGTACTGACTGAAACCGCTGACGAGTGCAGATTAACAGAGATGAATAGCAAAGAATACTTGGAGCACCATGCTGAAACATTGGCTGAGAAGAACTCAGAGGAAGGTGTGAATCTTAATAAGGTCGTGCAAGCATGATGACGTAAACAGATCCAGCTTACTCCAGTAAACCGGTGTTGTATAATTGTGTGGTTGCACGTCCAGAATCAGCATTGTAACATGAATGTTGTAACATGAATGTTATTTTTTTTCTTTTTTCAGTTGAACAAATGTACTCTCATAGTCGTATTAGATTCACCATTGTAACATAAATGTTATGATAATGCTCTGAAATTTTGAGGCTTGATAACTTCCTTGTGATTTATGGGACTGGCTACAATATTTACATGTATTTAATACAATCACCATATGAGCGTCATATATAATTCGAAGGAAAATGTGTAAAAAATTAAGTTCATTAAGCAACATAATAGCGATTAAATGGCAGAAGCATGTTTAGATGTACTTTAAAACAAAAACTTAAACTATGAAATTCAAAGTCTAGTAGTTATGGTAAACCAAGATTCAACTCAAATCTTAGGAGAAGGAAGTTGAGAAATTTTTATACCTTTAGCATCTCTTTGCTTAGCAAGGGAGATTCACCCATGTGAGGGCCTTCTTTTCTCTGTCTCCTTGCTACTTGGCTCCATGGACGTGGATGGAGGAACTTTGCTTCTTGACTCCATGACTTTTTGAATATGGATGGAGAAATGGGTTCTCCAAAAGTCCCTAAAATTGGAGACCTCTAAGTTCTGACACCAATGATGGTTGAGGAAGAAGATGAGTGACCATGGAAGAACAAAATGTTAGCAATGTTCTCCCATGGTGTCTGGCCTCTCTAGAGAGAAAGAGCTTGTGTTCTCTCATATTTCCTCAAAGAAAACCCTCATGTAAAAAAGGCTATAAAGTTATTTTTATACCTACCTTCATTAGAGTGACAAAACTTGTAATAAGTCCAAAATCACTCCCTCTCTGAGCACGGCCGGCCTCCCTATTGTTGGTGGGTTAATTGCCCACTTTGTTTTAGTTGTCACACAACTTAAACCTTATGTGCCTTGTGGACCAAAACCCTTTTGAGTCCCAAAATCCAAAACTAACTTAAGGCCTAAAAACGAGCCTTTCATTCTTGATTAATTAACTTTTAATTAATTCTTACCATATACAATTAAACTATTTAATTGTCCTTACTCATCTTCGTTATATCATTCAATCATTATCTTACACGGTGTGCGATCTATTAGGTTCCTTTTAGTGAGGTTGTGGGCGATTAGAACTTTTACTAATCGATTGTGAATTGAAACTTGTTGATGCACAAAATCAGTGAGGACTTTGGTACAACAGAAAGTGTTAAGTTTGTGACCTTCACTAGATTGCTCCGGTCACTAGTATGGATAAGTATGTAAATGGATAGAGATAGGGAAGCAAACACAAGATGTACGTGGTTCACCCAGATTAGCTACGTCCACGAAGTAGAGGAGTTTTCATTAATTGTGAAGGGTTTACACAAGTACATAGGTTCAAGCTCTCCTTTAGTGAGTACAAGTGAATGATTTAGTACAAATGACATTAGGAAATATTGTGAGAGAATGATCTCTATTTATAGAATAGAGTTTCTAGTTTCATTCTGACATTGACACGTGTCGTGTTGTGATTGGCTTCTGATGTTGACACATGTCGCGCTATGATTGGCTTCTGATGTCGACACGTGTCGCGCTGTGGTTGGCCTTCTGGTTGGAGGGAAACTCTTCTGGGTCCTTGACAGTATAACGTTGACTGGTGGTCAGTAGTTTCGGGATTGGTCAAGTATGGTACAAACAGTGCTCCCCTAAGTTCCCGAGTAAGGGAAGCTCCTCGGTTGGGGACTTGCAAGATCCAAGCCATTGAGTAATCACGAAACTTCTAAGTACCGAAGTGTGGTATCATTTTCACTTGCCTTATCTGTCTCATATGTAGATGTAACATCTTCTCTGGAAGTACTTTTCCTCCATCCAGGGGTGGTATCATTAACCGATTAAAATGCACAAGGTAATGTATCAATTTCACTTGAAGCTTACTTGTAGTTTCGGGATTGGTCAAGTGAAATACAAACCCTATAGTAGGAGTCCCCCAAGTCGCCGAGCTAGGAGATTTGCCGAATGAGGTAACAGACAAGGTAAGCAATCAGACTTACAAGCAAGCAACCGGGATCGGAGGTTCGACTTCGGCTTCCGGTTGATTGTTCTCCTTCTCCTTGTGTCGTAAATAACACCAAGGATAAGGAGAAGCAAATGGAGAAAAGATGATATGAGATACTTTTGCTTTTGAAGAAGTAACTTTCCACAGGCTTATTCTTGAACTGGGCTGGAGGGTTTTCTGGTTCCCTCCAGAGTATAAGGCCGACTCAAGAATTTGAGGGTCAAAACAAGTCCATCAAATCTAAAGTACGTTCGACCTTGATGATATGGGATACTTTTGCTGTTGACAAAGTAGTGGATGTATCGGCACGTGTTCTGTTACGCTTGTCTCCATATGCTTCCTTGTATCCTTCTCACTTGCCTTATATGTTCCTCAGGCAGATGTGGTATCTTCTCTAGAAGCATAAGATGTTGAAAATGAGTACTCGAGAGCAATGCCAGGTAAGTAATCAGGCAAGGGGTTCCAGGCAATCAGTTCCTGACTAGAAGCTTGATTCCAAGTGCTGACTGATTGCTCTCTTTCTCCTTGTCTTGCAGGTAAGAACAAGGCCAAAGGAAAAGATAGGGAAAAAGCATGATATGGGATACTCTTGCTTTTAACCCTGATGATATGAGATACTTTTGCTCTGGTGTGGCTTGTTTGCAGAGGTATTATCGTGAGGAAAAGAAGCTGAGTATTTTGAGAGACTCTGCTGAGAGTGCCCTCTCGGATGTGAAGAAAAGTTGAGCATTTTTTTTTATTTGCAGGTTTTCCTAGCCGTAGAGGATGGAGGTCGACATATATAGGAGTTTCCCTAACAACAAGTAGTAGTGTTATTCCTTTACCCTTCTTGGTCGTAGTAATGTAGTGGGAGCTGCAAGCTTCACGTGTTTTAACTTTGTCAGAGCACTTTGAAAAAGTGGTATGTGGTATCTGGAAAGCTGATGTTGCATGTGAAGATTGCAGACAAGCTTTATCCAAGGAAATTTGGCTCTCAAAGTTCAGAGAGCGATGCCTCTTCGGTTTTCGAACACGTAATCCTGTCGGGGATCTGGTTCTCGAGATTCGGAGAGCGGTGCCTCTTCGATTTTTTAGAAAGCAATCCTGTTGGGAGTCTGGCTCTTGAGATTCGGAAAGCGGTGCCTCTTTAACTTTTGAGAAAGTAATAATGCTGCTAGGAGTCTGGCTCTCGAAATTCGGAGGGCGGTGCCTCTTCGATTTTTGAGCAAGTAATAATGCTATTCATTTACCCTTCTTGGTCATAGCAATGTAGTGGGAGCTGCAAGCTTCACATGTTTTAACTTTGTCAAAGCGCTTTGAAAAAGTGGTATGTGGTATCTAGAAAGCTGATGTTGCGTGTGAAGATTGCAGACAAGCTTTATCCAAGGAAATCTGGCTCGAAGTTCGGAGAGCAGTGCCTCTTCGATTTTCGAACAAGCAATCCTGTCGGGGATCTGGCTCTCGAGATTCAGAGAACGGTGCCTCTTCGATTTTTGAGAAAGCAATCTTGTTGGGAGTCTGACTCCTGAGATTCGGAGAGCAGTCTCTCTTCGATTTTTTAGGAAGTAATCCTGTTGGGAGTGTTTTCTCGAATGTGAGTAAAGGTTGGGCATTTTTGCCAGTCTGCCTTGCCACGGAGCACGGAGGTTGACACACATTGGGACTTTCTAGTTATCAAGCAGTGGTGCTATTCCTTTACCCTTGTGGGTAATAGTAGGGTAGCTGGACCTTCAAAATTTATGTGTCTAAACTTTGTTAGAGATCTTTGGCAAAGTTATCTGTGGTACCCGAGGAGCTGATGTTGCATGTGGAAAGTGGTGCCTCTTCGAAGTCCGAATAGTGGTGTCTCTTCGGAATCCGGAGAGTGGTGCCTCTTCGATTTTTGAACCAACGGCCCTATTGCCCTTTCTTTTATAAGGGCACCAATTATGTGCAAGGAGTACATTCAGAGAGTTATTGCTTGTAGGAATTTTCCCCTTACTTCAGAGATTTATTGCACCTCATTTCTCCTTCATCATTTCTGAAAATGTCTGGCCCATCCGACCGTCGTTTTGATTTGAACTTTGGTGAAGAGGCAGCCATGCCTTCTCAAGACAACATATGGCGCCCATCCTTCTTATCCTCTACTGGTCCTCTTACCGTTGGGGACTCTGTGATGAAGAATGATATGACTGCTGCGGTGGTGGCCAGGAACCTTCTCACTCCCAAAGATAACAGACTACTTTCCAAATGGTCTGATGAGTTAGCTGTTAAGGATTCTTTGGCTCTCAGTGTTCAGTGTGCAGGTTCTGTGTCTCATATAGCCCAACGCCTATTTGCTCGAACCCGCCAAGTTGAATCATTGGCAGCTGAAGTGATAAGTCTCAAATAGGATATCAGAGGGCTCAAGCATGAGAATAAACAGCTGCACAGGCTTGCACATGACTATGCTACAAACATGAAGAGGAAGCTCGACCAGCTGCAGAAATCTGATGGTCAGATTTTACTTGATCATCAGAGGTTTGTGGGTTTGTTCCAAAGGTATTTATTGCCTTCGTCTTCTGGGGCTGTACCCCGTAATGAAGCTCCAAATGATCAACCTTCGGTGCCTCCTCCTTCTGGGGTTCTGCCTAGTACTGAGGCTTTGAATAATCACCCTATGGTGCCTCCTCGATTTGGGGCTCTGCCGACTGCTGAGACTTCTCCTTAGCAACCTTCGTGAAGGCTCCCTCTTGTTTGTTTATTTTGATTCATGTATATGTACATATTTGTAACTTATCGGAGATATCAATAAACAAGCTTTGCTTCATTTCAACGTATTGTGTTAAATACACCAAGGCCTTCTTCACTAAGTTCTTTAAATTTTTCCTTTTGTTAAAGCTTGTATGTTAAAGCTTTGTGAGTAAAGCATGTAGGTTGAGGTAGTGCTCCCTTAATTTCCCGAGTGAGGAAAACTTCTCATTTAGAGACTTGAAAAATCCAAGTCACTGAGTGGTCGTGAGACTTGCGAGTATCAAGGTGCAGTAGCATATGGTAGGAGTCCCCCAAGTCTCCGGTCGAGAGAGTTGACGAATGAGGCATTTCCTTTCTAAGTGGTAGTCCAAAACTCCTTCTTCATATATATTTGTTATGAAAGTGGTTAGGCCCAAAGAAGAAGAGGCCTAGGCATTTTTTTTTTTTTTTGAATTTTTGAATTTTTGAATTTCCGAATTTTTGAAA